TTTAATTACAACGATTGGTTCCCATGTCTGTTTCTTGTAATACTTGGCTAATCAATCACTATTATAATATTTTTGCAAGTCTTTAATGCTTTACATTAAGTATTTCCAAGTCTTTCAGCAATGCTTATCAGCTTCCATTATCTTTTATATATTTCTGATTCGATCTTTCAAACTGGCCCAGCATGGGCCACATGGCAATTCCCAATGGAAAGGCTTTGTGGAATGCTAATACCTTTAGTTCATTTCGTGGTAAAATTCTTATGTAAACTTAACTAAGCAAGTAATTACATGGATGCGGTTTACACATTACAATTTCATATGGAATATAATCAAGAAATCTTTGAGATAGCTTCTGAAACGTCTCAGATTCAACCAATTAGACACCTTTTTAACCCTCCAGATAATGAAGAAAAATTATATTCATTGTTTGAAGAACACGTAGTGTTATATACTGAGATCTGTATAAGTTGCATCAAGGTAATAGTTAAATTTTGTTATAAATACTTTGAACTATTATTAATATAGTTAAATTTTGTTATAAATACTTTGAACTATTATTAATATAGACAAAAACTTCAGATAACTAATAACAAAATCCAGAAATACAGAAAATTTCAAACCAAATTTGGTGCAGTAATCAGTTCGCAATTGGCTAATCGTAAAGAAGACATCTCACGAAATAATTATTCAATTGCAGTGAGTTAAATTTGTTATATGTTTATAAAGTTTAGAAAGATTGTTAATATTTATTAATTATATAGGCAAAGCTTCTAGTTGATAAATATGCGCACTATCCAAAAGCACCTATTGAATTCGAAGAACGAGTGTTTTACGGCCAAGTCTTATTTTATTTTACACATGAGCATGAGGGTGAGGTATCAAAGCTCGCTTATGTGTATTAGGTTAGAAGTCCGGAAGTTTATGTGAATAATATAAAATATTTTCATAACTTTGGTGAGATAGGAGTTATTAATATTACTACCATTGACCGTTGTGTTGGATTTCTTAAAGTTGCAACAAATAAATATATTATTATAGACAGAAAAAGTCAAGTTATATTTAGGTAAAATTCAAAAACTTATAATTCTATTTTAGAGAACTTCTGGCAAAATGAGCTGTCAAAAATATGTTTGTTGGAAATTAAGGCTATTGGCATCATAATATCAGAGAAGTAGATACTTTGGAAAAGTGAGCATTGGGAAATATATTTATAATTTTTTAAATATGTTAATATCAATAATATTATGTATAAATTTTAAACTGGAAAATTTTCTGAATATTTTTAGCAAAATCATTTTTATAAATTTTGAATCCTGATAATTTTCAGGTTATAATTATTTAAAAAAAAATTATGGAAAATTTCTGGAGCAATATCAATTTTGAAGTTTTAATTTTTATTATATAAATTTCAGTTTGGAGCATAATTGGAACAGGTTCAATTGGTCTGGAGCAAAACCTGAATATGTTCGTTAAAATTTTTTTATAGAGATTCTGTGTAGATTACTGGAAGCTAAATGCTATAACCAAAAAGGATACATATTTGTTACCTTAAATCGATAAAATGTTAAATACCCTTGCCAGATCATATTGGTTCTCTACACTAGATTTTATTTGCAGATATTTGCAAGTAGCTATGCACCCAGAGATCGAGAAAAGACTGCATTTGTTACTCACTATAGAACATACGAGTTTAATGTCATGCTCTTTGGACTTTGTAATGCCCCTGCAACTTTTCAACAATTAATGAACTGAGTTATGACAAAATAGCATAGAGATTTGTAGAAGTATACCTAGATGATACTATTGTATTCTTCAAGACCTTTGATAATCATTTAATTCATTTATGAGAAGTTTTCACTAGAATTAGACAAGCTGGACTCTGATTGAACTTTAAGAAATATAATTTTTGGATGCAAAGATTACTATTTCTAGGACATATAATCTTGTCTAAAGGAATTGCCCCAGACTCTCAGAAAATCGAAGCTGTTAACAAATTCTATCTCCTAAGAATATAACCAAGTTACGATCTTTTCTAGGACTAGTAGGATATTATCACCAATTTATTTGCAACTTCTCTGCAATTGCAAAGCCCTTAAATTAACTTTTCCAAAAGAACGAACTTTACAAATAGACCAAAGCTCAACAAGATTTCTTTAACAAGCTAAAACAAAGACTCATTAGTGCCTCTATCTTTAGCTATCTAGACTTCAAGAAGATATTTATCCTAGCAACTAATGTTTTATATTATGGATTTGGTACTACTCTTAGTCAACTCAACAACTATAATAAGGAATATCCTGTAGCTTATACTAGTAAAAACCTAAATAAGAAAGAAATAAACTATGGTGCTACTGAACTAGAATATGCTGCCATAGTATGGGCTATTGAATATTTCTATAAATATCTTGAAACTATCAAGTTTATTGTAATTACTAATCATTATACTCTCAAATGGTTATATACTACTGAATCTAAAGGAAGGTTAGGCTACTAAATACTCAAGTTATATTCCTATAACTTTGAGATTATTCATAAACCAGGACAAATACACTCCAATGTCAATACCCTCTGCGATTACAGACTCAGACAAAAAAATCTAAATTCTTATGAATTTAGACCAATATCATCAGTTATATCAGTATTAGATACAGATATGATACCTGAAGACTTTACTGAGAACCAGACAAAAACAATTAATTAATCAAGTCTAATACTTTGAGATTAGATACTATTTGCTTTACAAAAAAAATAAAAAAGATCCAGATAGACCCTTAAAAGTTATTAAATAGACTAAAGTAGAACCTGTTCTCTATATGATATATAAACACCCTACTGCTGGACATTTAGAAACAGATGTGATGTACCATAAAATAGCTGAATGATATTATTGGGACCAAATATACTGAGATATCAAAGAATATGTACAGATATGTGAAGACTATCAGAAAAGACTAAAAGAAAGAAGAAAAGAACTTTTGTACCCAATTCAAATCAACAAGCCTTTAAATAAATTGAAATTGATCTATTTGGACCTCTACCAATCACTGACCAAAATAATCGCTATATTATTATAGCAACAAATTACTTAACTCGATGGCCAGAAGCTTGTACTGTACCAGATGCTGGAGCCAAAATCTTAGCAAAATTTATCTTTGAAAAAATCATCTGTAGATATAGAACCTCTAAAATAATCCTATCTGACCAAAAAAAAAACTTTATTAGCACTACTGTTCGAATTCTGTGTGAAAAGTTTCTTATCAAGCACAAGTTCTCTTTGCCATACCACCTCCAGACCAATGAAATGATTGAATGACTAAATAGAACACTTTGCGAATTACTTGCCAAAGTGAAAGAAACAGATAAAGATTGGGATATCTATATACCTGCTATTCTTTTAGTATATCAGACCAAGAGATATGCTACTTCTGGCTATACATTTTTCTAGTTAGTTTACGGAAGACAAGCTATGCTACCTATTGAGACTATATTTTCTATCAAACTACTACCAGACCCAAATACAGAAATAGACTTGCAAGATAGTATATTACAATGAGCCTATAATTTGATAGAAAAACTATTCCAAGCACAAGAAAAAGCCCAAACCAACACAGAAAAATCTCAAGAGAAACAGAAAGAATATTTTGATGCTAGAATCAAACCTGAAGAATTTAAAATTAATAAAAAAGTTTGGATATAAACTAAGGCTTTAGAAAAGTCAAGATCAGCTAAATTTGAAGACAAAAGAGAAGGACCCTATATTATTCAAGCGAAACTGAATAATAGAACCTATAGACTATGAATATTGGATAGGAAAATACTGCAAAAATATTATAATAGTGATTGATTAGCCAAGTATTACAAGAAACAGACATGGGAACCAATCGTTGTAATTAAA